TAAAAGGACATGCCATCATTGTGTAAACTAGTGTTGGTTCATGTTATCAATGGTTTCAACATCATGCAAGATAACAATTATCAAGAATATATATCACATGTATGAAAGCACAATGGAATAATTAAACAAACAATAGTCGAAACCTATTGGATCACACTTGTGTTATAACTTCTGATTTAAAACATAATATTAAATCTACTTCTATTAATAATCATACCATGAACTCCAAGATATTGTAATCTTGAGTTGAATAGCTCTTGGTTGCCTTTGAACACCAAAGCAAAATTGATATTAAGCCACCAAAGTGTTTGGCCTCTAACAATGATCCATATAGCAACTCTTGCTGAAATCTTTACCAAGGTAGTATTCAAAACTAGAGCTAGCAAGTATGATTTGTTTCACAAACAAAGAAAGCCAATCATTGTTTTTGTCAAATGCCTTAAGGTGTTAAAAGAAAAAAAATAATTTTCCTTGTGTTTAAAAGTTGCAACAAAACCTTGTGGAATAAATGGTTTTCCATAAGTTTCTTTTCCAGCTAGCAATCCTTAATTACCTTTTTTTTTATTCAATATTCTCCACTAGCATAAGTAGTCTATTTATAGACCAACTTTTTTTTGAAACATAACACATAAGGATATAACTTTTATACCTTTTACAATTAAGTCCTTAAAGGCTTTAATTTTACATCCTCTTGTTTTTTGCTTCAAAAAATTAAGCCCCATTTATTTCAAAATCTCAATTTAATTTTGATAATGTCACTTTATGTGTTTGACTCATTAGGCTTCAAATAAGTTGGTAATGAATACAAATTCAATTAGTAATGATAAACAATTGTTGGATTTGACTCATACTTGTCATACAAACATAAATCAATAATTGAAAAATGTAATAGAATTAAACATATAAAAACTAAATCTAATCAAAGGATCAATTTGTTATGATCATCCAATCAACTAGTGCAAAAGTTGCACAAACATAAAAACTATTCATACCTCAAGCATTGGATTATTGCAAATTACAAAGCTTAACATCCCCATTATCCTTTTTGTACACCAAAGCCCATCGTTGCAAATCAAAGTCGACCAAGTGTCTGGCCTTGAACAATGACCCATACAGCTAACAAATTGAAACTTTCAAGAGATAGGGATTATGCTTGGTTAAATACTATGCTAGTGGTTTAGGATTCAAAATCCTCCATTTGATTGTGACTTTTACAACTAGCAATAGGCAAAATGAAAAACACAACACAAGTGAAAAAACTTTTTTCACTTTAAAGAAGAATAATGTGCAGTAAAACCCTGTGAGTTTCCTAAACGCAACCTAATTACTCTCTTTTTTGTGTTTTTCTTTAATTGCTGATTCTATGCTTTCCATTTTAGAAGGGTTAGTTAAACATGTGTTATAAAAGCATGTTAAGTTTCCTGCATCGTAAAATTACACTTTTACATTTTCACTTAATCAAATCTTTTTAATTAAACCTTTAATGTGAAATTATCAATTTCACAACACTAATCTCATTTTAATTCATCATGTCATCTTATTGTGTGTGACCCATTGGGCTTCTAACATGTTAACAATAAATATAAGATAATTCAATTAAGAATTCTTTTTAGATCTAGAAATCATGTGCAGCATTTAGTAATACATTATAACCATCCAAATATTAGGAAAGTTAACATGATTTGACTATCCTTTTAGTGTATAATATGTCAATGTCATTTGATCCCTCTATCATATATGTTGGATAGATGAAAGCATGGTGTAGTGTCTATTTTTTTATCATTTTATATTAGTCCTAATGCTTCAATATTAACCCTAATAGATCATTTTTTGGCTCAAGTAAGGACTTATGGTTAACATTAGCCAGAAACAAATGAGATATGCCCCCTCATATTACTCTAGGTGATGAATCCTCTCTAGATCACTCATCCACCTCCATATGTTTTATGTCACACCCAAAAATACCTTTTTTAGGCATTATTCATCCTAATTGTATAGATGCAATCAAAGTATGATAATTCACATACAAGATGACTTGGTATCATAAGTCAAAAGATTACTTATACTATTGATATATGAGAGTATATTTAATAGACACTTGAGTTAGATACCAAATGGATAATAGCAGGTCATGTTCGGTGAACTTGCTCCTTAACAAGCACCCACGTGCTATCTCGAAATATCTCTATATTTCAAGTTATGAGATCAGTTGCTTACTTCATAAATAAAAAAACTTAACATGTACTAGTTTTTAAGCATTGTTGATGCCTTTATTCTAAAAAATACAACAACCAAAAACATATTTAAGAATAAATCTTTAATGCATAAGGATCTCATTATTGTATCATAGATTACTGACAGATTGCCAATAGATTATCAATTGCAATTAGCCTTTACTGACAGATTATCAACAAATTACCAAAAGAATTTTATCTTTTTTAATTAAATTTTATTGCTTTGTTTAAATATATTTATTGATAAAATAATTATATTACGGACAAAAATATGCATCAGTAATTACTGATGAAATTTTAAGTTTACCAATAATAAATTATTACCAACTTACTTACTATCGACTGAAATTTCAATCGATAGATTCTATCAATAAATATTTTACTGATGAAAATTAACTTTATATCAATGAATTTTACTATTGGTAATACCTTAATTTCTTATAGTGATAGACGTTATTTGAACATTTTAGCATATTTTACTAACACTATTATTGTTTTGTTAGTGCTTTGTAACACTATATTAATTTAGAATTTTAACAATAAAGTTATAGTTTTATTTTTATATATGTCAAAATTATGTAATTAATAAAAACTAATTTTTACTTCAAATAGGCTTATTCTTAAAAAAATAATAAAAAAAGATTAATAATCATATTAAATTGTCTTGTGTTGTTTAAAATTCAATCTAAATGTATTATTCATATTATGTTGTGTGACACATATAATAAAAGTACTAGCATTAATGTTTAAGATCTTAATATGTTTAATTAATTGTGTCATGTTCATGTTTACTATCACAACTTTTAATACCTTATTTAAGACACTATTACAACAAGGACAACACATATTGCTAGGATTAGCATATTTAATACTTTTTCACTAAATCTTTTAGTAAGTGGCTTTAAAAAATGATTTATCAAATGTATTGAAAAAAATAATATTATTAAAAATTTTAATTTTTAATGGTTTTAAAATTTTATGGTTTATTAACATTTTGGACTTGAGTTTTATTTGATAAATTGAACAAATTCAACACTGAAATTATTAAAATTATTGTTTTGAAAATTTTAAATTCTGAAATTTTATGATATAGAAATTGTTTGCTATGATAAATAAAATTAAATATTTAATAACTTTTTATTAATTTTTTATAAAAAAGATACGATTTTATAATTATTTTCGATTGCTAAAATTTGAAAAGCAAATAATAAATAGTTAAAAGAAAAGAATATAAAAAGAATATAATTAAATAATCTTTTTATAAATAAAATTGATTTAATACATTAAGCAGTCAGTTACTTTGCATTAGGAACATTTTTTTATCGAAAACCTTCAATAAATTGATTCTAAAAATATTCATTAAATGCATTGAAAATTTTTTTCAATCGTTTATCAAACACATCCTTAATCTTTACACAAATTCAAATTTTAGGATTTCTTTTTTCAATTGCCGGATTCAAATGCAAAGTTTCAAAATTACTTCACTTTAAGCGTGCAAAAACAAAAGGCGTGTGGTTACAAGTGTTGCTGACATTGAAACTAGAATGTTTCCCGCATTTCGTTGTGAGAATTTTTTTTAATATATTTATGAATATTTATTTTTATTTTAATATATGTAAATTAAATATTAAATTTTTTTTATAAACAAATATATATTTGTAACAATTCGGTTTTATTTTTTAATTATTAACTTTTATTCATTTTATAGTTGTAATTAAATATTTTAGAATTACAGATTTTATCCATACGTTTAAATATTTAAAATGTTGTATTGACTAATTGACTCATGAAAAAAAAAAAAGCTATAAATATTTGCAACATTTGATATTTACATTAAGTATATTTATTAATACTATTATGCGGACGTTTTGTTCAAATAATCCTCATATTGAAGAATTTTAAGAGATTTTGAACAATTTTATAAAACCAAAATTATCTTTAACTTAATTTTATTTAGAAAAACTATATTTTTAATCAAAGCCATCTCTTTTGATTTTCAAATAATTAATTAATTATATATTTTTAATATATTTTTATCAATTTTAATTTTGATAAATAATTGAATACATTATCATAATAATAATAATAGAAAAATTATTATAGAACATAAAACAAATAAATATATCTCAATTAAAAATTATCAAGATTTATTTTTTTACTTGGCTTAGAGATATATTTATTTTTTATTTTTTATAGGTGGTAAAAAGTAAAAAATAGCATTGTAAGGGTCATTCCATGAAAGCATACATTTTTTAAAAACAAATATTTACATCAGATTGTATTTTCTTGGATACCATTGTTTTATGAGTTAGATCAATAATTAGATTATTTTTGTTGATTTAAAAAAAAAAAAAGTAAGTGAGCTGAGATTTTACTTGGTGCACTTTAAAAGTAAAACCTCTAAGCCAAGTAAAAAAATAAATCTTGATAATTTAATTAATTATATATTTTTAATATATTTTAATTAATTATTTAATTAATTAAAAAAATAAAAAGACCCAAATAAGAAAAATTCAAACTCAAAGACCTCAAACTTAAAATAATCTAAGTTGAAAATCATTTAACTCGAAATAACTCTAACATGAAATAAGACCCGCAATAACCCAAATTCATAAGACCTAAACTTGAGACCAATCAAATCCAAAAACCTTTAATCTTGATTTTAATCTGAAAATATCCCAATTATGATTGTTACGAGACAGAAATGGATTAAATTTGAGATAACTTCAATATGAATTGATACAAACCGAAAACAATTGTAACCCATGACAAATCTTAACCTTAAATTATCCCTTTCAGAGCATTAAATAACTTTTAAAGTATTTAACTTTGATTGCTGACATGGTTAGCTCCTAATTACTACACTCTCTGTATTGCTTTAATCTCATAAAAAAGTACAATTAGTGCAGTAAGAAGAACAAAATTATTACAAGACACCAGCCGAGTGCCAAACACAACAAATAAATGGGCTTTCACAGATTATTTCACGTGAAGCAATTACGACTTCATGAACTTGAATTACACTGCTATTTTTCCTTATATAACACGAAAGAATCCTGGACCTGCCACCATAAACCAAAAAAAAAAAGTCCCCTGAAACTAGGATGAGTAGCACTAGTTAGCAATGTACACGAGCTATGCAAAACAAACCCAACTTTTCCTAGCCAAAGACACCACATCTACCCATATTATACAGATAGTCCACATGAGAGTGCTGCAGCCTAGTTCCCACGTCCTAGAACAGCAGAAACAGACCCACTCCGCGCTCTTAAGTGACTTAAATGGCTGGAGCCCTTGGACTTCGAGTTCGAGGCACCAAAAACTTCTCCATTATACATCAAATGCTACTTCAAAGTCATAAAAGACAATCTGCAAAGCTTCAGGATCAGCACCTACTCTAAATGCTTTAGATCAGCCACTGCAAGGATAGAAACACAATTAGTATATGGCACTATTACTGCACCAACAGTGGAAAGTTGAGAAAAGCATTGATCCTATCTCAAACTTGCACTAACAGGTAAAAAGCTTTTTCACCAAGGGCACATTTTAAATAGCATATTTGAAAGGTCACGTTCACCCGCAAAATTGCACATAGGAGGTTTCATTTTTATTTTCACACACAATATTACATCAGAGAAGCTACAAAAACAGAATTTTATCAAAAAATCCCAACTACACTTAAGCGTGCATAAAATCAAAGAGGGAAGGGTAACATTTGTAGCATCATATATTTATAACCACCATCTTCATCATAGCTAGCAGAAGCAGCAGCAGCAGCAAAACTAGATCACATTATAGGACAAGTAGCTCACTAGTTAATAACATGCAGTGACCCCAAAACATTAACTTAACTAGGAGGCAAATCCTGAGCCATCATAAATAAACAACAGAAAATGAAAACAAAAATATGTTTTCCATAAACAAACAAAGTCGTACTAATGGCAATGCTAAATCTCATCGGTTGGGTTGATGATTAGAATACTTTCAAGTTTTCAACCAACTTTTGCATTCCAAAAGATATAAATGATACAACTTATGACATACCATATTTCATTTACATGGATTGCAGTATGATGCTACACCAAACCCAAGGCTCTGCATAGTTATTCTCATACCGACATACTATAACCAAACCAAGTCAGAACAACATAGCCACTGCAAACTAGATCAGAAAAGTTTAGTTGGAAAGTTGATCAAAATCACATGATTGACTCACTATTCCCCAAGGTCCAGTCAAAATCAGGCAGTTTTATATAGAAACACACAAATCTGTCAGAAATTTTTTGTTGAATTGATAAAAATCACACATTTACTAGTTATTCACCAAAGTCCAGTCAGAAAAAATGGTGATGTCCACCACTAGATCAGATGGATATATTCACAAATATATAGTTATCTGTAGTTTTATTTACTCAGCAAGTAGCAAAGTAGTTGCAAGCAAGTAGGAGTCCCAAAGACTAACATAATAACTGCTATCAATATTAACCTTTGGAACTCAATTCCTTAATTGTACCATTCAAACAAGTTCCAAGGCTTATTAGAAGGAGAAAATGGTTCCTCATCACATTGATATAAAGAAGTTTAGAAGGCAAGAATTAAGAGCATTCAGGCCTATTAAAGCAAGATGAAAGTGTCCTGCTAGATAAAAAGACCAGTCAAGGGTATCCATATCAATAAAAATAGAAGATTACACTCATCATAGAGTAGAGCTTGCTCATAACCCGCTTGCTTTCCATTGGTTTAACCCATGAAGGCTAAGAACTTAAGAAGTCATGTAGAAAAACTCCTCACTCCATCAGGAAAAAAAAAAAGACGAGCATTTCTCAGCAGCTAATTTCTTTCTAACGCTCAACTGAAATTTTATCATAAAGTACTCAGTATTGCAAACTTATTTCTCTTGACATATCAGGTCTGTTCATTGTAAACACAAAAGAACACTGAAATTTGAAGTTTAAAAAAGCGGGAAGAGAAGGAAGCAAAGCTCTGTACTAATGCAAATGATCAGAAGAGTTAGAACTACAAATTTTATCATAAACTACAAGTATGACAATAAATGAAACTCACTAAAAAGCATCTAGAAAAAAAAAAATCCCCAAAAAGTTGCACTATCAAGAACCATAACAACTATAAAGTTTTATATTTAATAGACTATCATCTACAAGCCAATCCTAGATACTGGTACATTTAATTAGTTGCCACAGCATGAATAAACATTTATTACCAAGAATTTCAAGTATAATACCAAACTTTCAATCATGCTACACCAGCATATCCAGTCATAAAAATCACAAATATGAACCTGTTTTGCTTCTCCAAAAGATGCAAACTCATCTTAGATATTCCCTTTGCCAAAATGAAAAAATATTTTGAACAGATAATTGTTCAATATTTAGCTTATATAGTCTCCAATCATCCAACATTGAAGCTATAAATCTTCATCTCACAAGGACATTAATTGCCAAAACATACAATGTCTACAAATTTTTTTTCTTCTTTTTCTTACATGTGAAATCCCATTGATTCCGAATAGAAAGGGATGTAAATCTCTTGATCTTATAGACCTCACTCTCCCTCCTCAAGATTTGAATATGAAACCTTCAAGTTGAAGTCTATTTAAGGTGTCGCCTTGGGGTCTCAAGAACCACAATTCTTTACTCAGCCAAATTTTAATTCAAGTTATCATGAGATCACTTAAATAGTAAAACTTTGAGTCAAGGATATTCACCACCATTTACATCAAATGTCATCACTAAACACCATTCATACTATTCAAAAGAACCGCAATATAAACAAAACTGTACACAATTCTACAGCAGAAGATGCTCCATGAAAACAAGCATATACACCTAAGGAACTTTGAAGAATCAAATCATGAATTTTTGTAAGACACAGGAACATTTTATCATATCATACCTGAATGAGAAAACATTCAAGACCTTGGTGAATGTTCAGCATCAGACCCAGATGCTGAGGAACTTTCACTATCAGAGTCTGCAACAAACATTATATACGTTAAAACAATAAGAGAGAAAGTACAAAAAAAATCCAGTTAGAAACAAATCATAATACCAGTTGAAGAAGAAGCAGAATCACTGCTAGAGCTACTTGAACTACTTGACCTACTAGCATTATCTCCCGGCTTTTCAATTTCAACAGGTGATGTGGACACATTCTGTTCATCTGCAGGTAGAAGCATATAAATTTTTTGTCATCAATCCAACCAATCATGCAGCAATCAGAGTACCATCATTCTTATAACGTGAAAACTTACTAGTTGTGGCTTCTTTTGGCAGTTCCACCAAAACAGTAGCTGGAGTCTGCAACTAAATACAACATAAGCATGAATTCAGCAACTCTTGGGAAAAGATAATTACACAGGAAAATATGACAGAAAGCTTTACCTTCTCTGGTACAATCTGCTCAGCTTCTGCTCTAGCTTGAATGGCAAGTTCAGCTTTTCTCTTGTTTTTGCTCAAACTTTTCTTGTAGTTGGTAAAAAATCTATCTAGCTCCCAAAGAGTCTCAGTATCCACACTGTCAATATCCACTTCAATTTCATCGTCATGTTGAAAGAAAGCTGAATTCCTTTTCTTAATAATCTGTACAATGTTGTCCAGCTTCTCTGAAGGCAAACTCTGAAGGTTAGTGCTAAGCTTCTGCTTCTCCTCATAAGTCATATCCCTCTTATACAGATCCTTTGCCTTAGGCTTTTTTGGAGTAGCGGTCCTACCTGAAGGAGTAGTAGCAATGAGTTTTGGTCTCATATCAACAGGGCGTACCATCAACTCTGACCTATCCAAGATCCTTCTCATATCAAGTGGAGATGGAAGCATTGGATGTGCCTTTCTTGGTGTTGGCATAGGAAGACTCACTTCATATTCTATTGCAAGTCTCATATCTCGAATATAATCTGCCTCTATAGGAGCCCATTTGTCCTCAAATATCTGTGATAACTGCTCAGCCATTATATGAACATCTTGTCCCTTAGGATTATATGTCATAGCATTGCGAAATGTCAGTCTCACATCCTCGGCAAACTCTCTAGGAGACTTGTACCAGTTCTTGTTAAGCCTCGATTTCACAGTACCCAAATCCATTGGATGCTTGATGATACTATAGTAATCATGCAAACCCAAACCCTTGACATCAACAGGAGCATTAAAGACCCAACCATGCTTATGCTTCATTAGTCTTTCAAGCAAAGAGCTACAGCTCTTAAAGAACTTGTTACCCATACCAAACCCATGAGTGAATTCACCTCCTCCTTGCTTCTTCCCATTCAATTTCGACTTTTTGTTACTCTCAGCTGGTGGAAACTTATCTTTAGCAAGCAAAAACTCAGAATTCCGATAGAATTTATTCGCCTTAGGTGTTCTCTTCTCCTTCTCCAAATTTTCATTTGCAACCTGATTATTTTCCACGACAGAAATATTCAACTGGTTCAAAGGCCTTGATTGCTTAACAGGCTTCTGAGGAATACCCACTGATGCCACCTCTGGTTGAACCGTCTTGAATCCATAATCAACAGTGTCATTCGACGGAACACGGGAATTACCAAACCCACTTATTTGACCTTCTTTAACTTCAATCCTCTTCACCAAACTCCTCACCAAATCAAGCTCACTCTCCAGCTTCCTCCTCAGTTCCCGCATCTCCCGTTTTGATCTTGAAGCCAAATTGATCTTCACCCGGTTCTCTGAGCTGGGCTTCACTCCGTTGTCTGCCACAGCATGCTGCTTGTTAAGACATGAAGAGTCATCAGAAATTGCAGTATCTACACGCAAAGCAGGCTGTTGGTGAGATGAATCCCCGTATTCCAAAGGCAGAGGCTGAGCTGGTGCTTCAGCCAAGTTGTTGTTGTCGCTGTTGTTCTTATCATTGGTGTTGTCCTCCTTGTTCGCAGCGGCAGGGGCAGCGGTTTTGATGACGGCACTGCTGCTCACAGCAGCGCTATTGACGTTGTTGTTGCTGTTGTTGTTGTTGTCATTGCTGGTGTTGCTGTTGTTAGTGGTGGCGTTGACAATATTGTTTTTCTTGGGACCCTTAAACGCCTTTCTCGTATAAACCTTGCTCTCCGTGTACCTCTGCTTCTCTCTCTCACCATCTTTTCCTTCTCCAACTACTGTCCCCGAAGCCATACATATATATTAGGGTTTAAAACCCTAATTTCCCCTTTTACAGTCTTCAACGAAACAATTCACGTTCTCAAATCAATCCAAACTAGGGTTTAACCACCTCCGCACCAAAACCCTAATTTCACCTCCCAAACTTGACAGCTCCTCAAAGTTTTAACGACCAAATCCAAGAGAAACCCAACAAATCTAGAGATCAAAAACCTCCTCGATCTGCAAAATTAAAACCAAAACATCTATACATCCGAAACCAAATTAAAGACACAAAGAAACAAAGAAAGAGAGATTTCTCAGCTCCATACCTTTGGCTCTTCGATTTCAGATCTTCAGAGTCTTTCTCTCTCAACGCTACTCTCTTTCTCTCTCTAAAAAGTTCTGTTCGTTTTTTCTCTGGATCTCTATCCTTATCTTACAGGTGTACGGTGAAGAGTGCTCTCGTGGTTTCAAACGACTCGAGAGAAGCGTGTGTGCAACAAAAGAGCCGTGCTAGGGAAGATCATAGCGGAGATAGGGAGTGTTCGACTCACTCGCTTTTTCTTGTCGTCCGTACCACGAACCAATTAAAAGATGGAACACGAGGAGAGTGAAAACAGTTTCCGGTAGAGGTTATAGGGTTAGATTTGGCGGAGAGCTTTAATTGTGGGGTTTTCGTAGATTTTTCCCAGCCGAGAAAAGGGTGCGTATGGTTTAATTCCCAGCTGTTCCATAAGTCCAATTGTCCAGAGGGGAATGACACGGGTGGTGTACTTAACTATTTCCGGTTCAAGGTCAAAAATGCGTATGGATAATTGTTGGGGGGAATTCCATTTTGCTATCATGGAGTAAGAATAAGACATGATATTTAACATATGATAATATCCCATTTGATTTCTGAATTATTATTTTTTTAATATAATATTTAAATTAAAAAAAAATTTAATTAGATATCTAAATTCTTAATTTGTATATTAATATTGTTCAAAATTTAACTCTCTTAGTAGAATAGTTTACTTGATCATTTTAACTAATAAAAAATTGAGACTTGATGAAAAATTTACATATCATCTTAAGTGATAAAACATGTGGCTACTTACATGTGAATTGATTTGGCATTCTAAAAAAATATATATCTAAAACAAATTATTTTTCCCTTAAACGTAAATCCCAAATTGAATATCCATGCGATCATAAACCCCAAATTTAAAATACAATCTAAAATTTTAGCAAATTTAAAGCTACTATCTTAAAAAATTGAAGCTATTACTTTCACGATATCAACGACGAATGAAGAAAACAAGATGGTAGAAAGAAGGTATTGGGATTCAGAAGATATTGGTATTCTGTTGAAAATTCATCAAAGACAAGTATACATTCTAAGCAATCACGATCAAGCTATAGCTTGAGAACAAGAGATCAGTTTACTTCAATCAATTGTTATTATGGAGTAATGGCTCCAATTCGTAGGCAGACAACATTGAAGAATCCAAGAAAAAAATTTTATGAGTGTGGAAAGTTCTAAAAGGTATTATAGACATTTGTTAATTTATGCAAAGCTAGTCTTGTATTGATAGATAAAACTAATTTTGTTTCTTTTAACATTTTACAAGGTGTGAATAGTAAGTTTTTTCAATGGGTTGAAGATTAGCATTTATTGGACAATGAAAATACAAATCAAAATGAGGAATTGAGATTTGAAACAAACAAATTGCTGGCTAAGAACAAAAAGTTAAAGAAAGAAAATACTGCATTAAAGGAAAATTACAATAATAATGAAGTTAATAGGCTTTTGAATGAGATTTGAGTTCTAAAAATGAAAAAGAAATCATACAGAGATTTGGTAGCAAAAGGTTGAAGACTAATATGGTATTACAAAATTATGTTACTAATGTCTTGGATGGGGTTTTTCATTTTCATTTTAGGTTTTATTTTCTACTAGAGTGAAATATTTTAAGAATTTTAGATACTATTATATACTTTGTTTTAAACTATTGCAAGAATTATTCAAATGAAAGTAATATTTCAAATCAATTATTTAGTTTTCTTCATTTAATTTAAGTTGCTAAGCATGAACACATTATAAAGAAGATGAAACCAATTGATCATTACACATACAAGATGAAACCAATTCATTTATTTAAACCCATCATTGATCCATAAACAAGATGAAACTAATACATCATTGATCCATAAACAAGATTATCTAAAAAGATGAAACCAATTCATCAATTCCCTACTCATTAAACAAGTAAATGGATCATGATTATCCAAAAAAGGTAGAAATAATATCCATCATTGATCCATAAATAAGATGAAAAAGCATGAAACCATAAACAAGATGAAACCAATTCATTCATTATTGGCTAAAATCAATTCATACAACATCCAACTATGTGGTTTCATCATTGCTCATTACACAAATAAATTGATCATAAATATCCAAAAAAAGCATAACAACATTCATCATAGTCATAAACAAAAATAACAAAAAAATTTACAAAAAGGTATCATGTTAAAAAATAAATTTATATCAATTCTTGGAAATGTTACTGATCTTAAAGCTCTTAGACTTTTTGTTTCTAGCTTTGCTTCCTTGTGTACTTTGTATCTCATGTAGAAAAGTTAGAGCATCATCAAGTGCTATTGTAGTTTATCTCTTCCTCTTGAAGCCCTATAAGTCATTTCTTAAATCCTGTATTGAAACCATTAAAGTATTACCAAATGATGCATAAAAGTCATATCTAGTAACACATATAAATAGGTTACCTTGAAAATACCAAATTCTTTATCTCATATTCAATAACACCATCTAAATGGCCTCAATCTCTTTATTCAAAGAACCATTTATAGTTGTTTTTGATGTTAATGCACCCTTAGCACCGTTTGGAGTAGAGATCAACATCTGTCTTTTTAATTTAGTCTATTTACTAAAATTTTATTCATTAGCATAGATACATAAATCCTAAACAATCAACAGCATAACAAAAATTACATAATAAAGGAACCTTACATTTAATATTTGTAGTCTTGTCTTCTTGTCAGCATATATGCCTATTCTTTGCATGATTTTCCTCCTCCTAATTCCGAGTGGTAAAAGCTTTTCCATAATTTTTTGTTTTCTTTTCCAGGTAACTAACTTTTGGGTTCATGTGGCCTTTAATGTTGCATAAGCTACTATTGTGTTTCGATGTTGTATGGCTGTGTAGTCTATCTTGATGGTGTGATTGTTGAAGTCTGTGTGGATGTTGTGGTTGCTACAGTCCATCTAGATGGTGTGGTTGTTGTACCCTCTATAAGTGATGTGGTACTGATTGGGACATTCTACAAATGCATAAATTGTACAAGTAATAATAATCACATTTCGATCAAGATATCATTCTCATAGAGATTAGTTAAAGTGGTTCCTAGATTAAGTATCTATTATCCTCATTCCCTTTTAAAGTTGGTTCAATTAAAGAATAATATCATACATGCTACTATAACTACTTTACAAATTTGGAAAGCAAAATTTGAGCTACTATTTTGCATAAAAAAAATGAAACATGATCAAATGAAAACAAGCTGGAATTTCAAAGATCTATCAAAGGAAATCATGAGAAATAAATTTCAAAGGCAAAAGTTGAAGAAAAGTCGCACAATGCAATGAAAGAACACAAAACCGCAACTAACAACTAACTTGTAATTGAACTTGAATTAATTGATCTAGATATAATTGATGCTAAAACAAGTAATCATAAATTGGAATTGAAAAGATCAACTAAGGAACTAGAAGGAAAATTGATTTAAAGAACAAAAACTGCAACAAAATACAAGAATTAACTAGAAACAACTAAAACAAAAAATGAAATTCAACTGAAACTCACTAAGTTAATGAGATAAAAAATTAGGTCTAGAAACTTATAATGAAAATGAACTTAAAATAAGCTAAGAAACAATTCATTAACAAGTTTACTATAAAATTTAATAAGAAAATCATAACAAAATAGAGAAAAATAAACTCAATGAACTAGTAACTCAAGTGATACTCAAAACAGAGAAAAATAGAGCATTAACTAAACAATTCATCCAAATAGCCAGCAAATTCATGAATTAAATTGCAACAAAAGGCAAATTAGCAAGTAAACATGTAAATCTAAGAATGTAAGGTTTGAGAGAAGCAAACTAAACATCTAGAAGGAGAGTGGATCATTGCAATATTATCACTCATGCACAGAACACTTTTGCCTTCTCAATCCAGCTATAACTTTGAGGAATTAATTGTACTTGTACAATTGAATTTGAAGCTAAATTTTTACTGAATTATAGCCTTATGAACTAGGAATCTAGGAAAAATTTTTGAAGTAAATCACGTCAGGAATCGCCAAGTTTCTATCAAAAGAGTAAAGATAGGTTAAGTACGTAATTTTGAAATTAGATTTGAGTTCAACGTGAAATCAATAGAATTTGAAAAGGAAATCATGAGAATTTGCAAATTTACTTATGAAAATCTTAAAGAACATTGTAAAAGAGTGCTCAAAACATAAAATTAACAAGAATCAATCAAGAAAACTAGAATTAAAAGCTATTTGGCTAAAGAGAAAATATAAAAGTGCAAGAAAGGAAATACAGAAATTTAAAGGAACAAGAAATGAAAATCCTAACGTAAAGTTTTTAAAATGGCCGGCACCTCCCTTTTATTTATAGAAAAATAAGAGGTGCTTCAAGCCCCAATATATCTCTTTCTTATTTAATCCTTCTTATTTTTAAGCTCTTTTCTCATGAATTTTGCTAATCCAAAAAGTCCACATTATGGCCAATAGGAGTCATCCAAAATGTGAACTCATCAACTCCATTTTACCTTCTTCAAATCACCAAAAGGTGGTGCCAAAACATTGCTACATTGTACTTGAACACTCATGGCAAGCATGCTTATTTCTTTCTCATTTGGTGCCATATACACACATTTCTGCTTTTATTTTACTAACAAAATTCAAGCCATAAAGAAAATCAATTTGACATTATAAGACTTAGCAAAATTCTAGAATTTAATTATCTAAAAACAATCAAGAAACCATAGAAGATAAGGGTAATAATATCTCCCTTAATAGGCAATTAAGTTCAATTATACAATTTTGGACTATGCTGGCTTTTACCACCACAAATCCTCCAATTTAAGTCCAAATTGTCAAAAATTCCTCATTTTCTCTATTTTTACCAACACATGAGACAAATGTTCCTTTAGGAGTATTTTTGCCACAATTCATAAGGAATAAACTAAAATATAAGGAAAATTACACTAAAAATGAGCAAGAAAAGAGTAAAATTTTATTACAACCAACCTCCAAACTTAAGCTTTTGTTTGTCCTCAAGCAAAAAAAGATTGAGTAAGAATCATCGTATACTTTTATTTTTTCATTCAACATGAATGCCTCGTGGATTGATCAATAAATATAACTAAAGTAAAATCATGAAAGTGTACTAATATACAATAATCAACTTAATCTAAGATCATTAGTAACTATGGTTCCACAAGCAAACAATACCTTTCATACATCCTTGCATGAAATCTAGTAATGTTATGCAAAACATAAAGATTCAAGAACAAAAATCAATAAAGTGTGCTTAAGTTCCATAAGGTTACTTATCACATCTCTCCATTAATTTAGATCCACATGTGACCAATGATCATTTAGGACTTTAATAAGCTTGTAATGTAAGGCTAGAGTCAAGGTATGATAAAAGTTAATTTAGGCTCAAGTACCCTAATAATGCATTACTTGTCTAGGATCATTTATAATTGAGCTTTTCATGGTAAAGAAAGGTAAAGCTTGATTAAAGAATTACTCCTTAAACTTTTTTTT